CGGGATGTACGAGATGTACAAGATGTACAGGGTGTACGGGATGTATGGGGTGTACGGGCTGTATGGGGTGTACAGGATGTATAGAGTGTATGGGATGTATGGGGTGTACGGGATGTATGGGATACACAGAGTGTACAGGATGTACGGAGTGTACGAGATGTATGGGGTGTACGGGATGTATAGGATGTACAAGATGTACAGGATGTATGGGATGTACGGGCTGTATGGGGTGTACAGAATGCATAGAGTGTACGGATGTACGGGATGTATGGGATGTACGGGGTGTATGGGATGCATAGAGTGTATGGGATGTACGGGGTGTACGGGATGTAAGGGATGTATAGGATGTATGAGATGTACGGGATGTACAGGGTGTATGTGATGCACACAGTGTACAGGATGTACGGAGAGTACGGGATGTACGGACTGTATGAGGTGTACGGAATGTACAGGGTGTATGGAATGTACGGGATGTAGGGGGTGTATGGGATGTACAAGATGTACAGGGTGTACGGGATGTATGGGGTGTACGAGATGTATGGGCTGTATGGGCTGTACGGGATGCACAGAGTGTATTGGATGCACAGAGTGTACGGGATGTATGGGATGTATGGGGTGTAAGGGATGTACGAGATGTACGGGATGTATGGGATACACAGAGTGTACAGGATGTACAGAGTGTACGAGATATATGTGGTGTACGAGATGTATGGGATGTATAGGATGTACGAAATGTACGGGCTGTATGGAATGTACGGGGTGTACGAGATGCATAGAGTGTACGGGATGTACGGAGTGTATGGGATGTACAGGATGTACGGGGTGTACGGGATGTATGGGATACACAGAGTGTACAGAATGTACGGAGTGTACGAGATATATGTGGTGTACGAGATGTACGGGATGTATAGGATGTACGAAATGTACGGGCTGTACGGGATGTACGGGATGCATAGAGTGTACGGGATGTACGGAGTGTATAGGATGTACAGGGTGTACTGGGTGTATGCAGTGTACTGGATGTATGGGGGTGTACAGGATGTACGGGGTGTACGAGATGTATGGGGTGTACGAGATGTAAGGGATGTATAGGATGTACGAGATGTACGGGCTGTATGGGGTGTATGGGGTGTACGGGATGCATAGAATGTATGGGATGTACGGAGTGTATGGGATGTACGGGGTGTACGAGATGTATGGGATGTATAGGATGTGCGAGATGTACGGGCTGTATTGGATGTACGGGGTGTACGGGATGCATAGAGTGTACGGGATGTACGGAGTGTATGGGATGTATGGGGTGTACAGGATGTACGGAGTGTATGGGATGTACAGGATGTATGGGGTGTACAGGATGTACGGGGTGTACAGGGATGTACGTGGTGTACTGGGTGTATACAGTGTACTGGATGTATGGGGTGTACAGGTATATGGGGGTGTATGGGGTGTACGGGATGTACAGGGTGTATGCAGTGTACTGGATGTATGGGGTGTATGGTGTACGGGATGTACAGATCGTGTGTACTGGAGTCAGTCATTCTGGCGCAGTGTGATGGAGATGCATGCTGAGGTGCGCATGCGCAGCTTCCTGTACATTCATTAGAAGACTGTGAGCAGGTAGGTAAGTATGAAAAATATCGTGTCTCTTCAGCAATAAATAGCTGCCTGCATTTTCTGAGATTTTAGGTTTAGTTCCACTTTAATGCAGCTTTGTGTGGCAACGATGCTGCACCGCTCCTGAATTCAGAGCAGAGTTGTCACTCTCATGTAGGAAATGCAGTGGGATGAGAAGATGTTGCAGGCTGGGTTCACAGTACTCCTGGACTGAGCATTGATCACATACTGAATTTTGTGGACAGAGAGGCTTTGCAGGCTGTCCCCTCTGGAATTCCCCCCTGCTCTAGATCTTTTTGAAGAAGGTCTAGAATCAGTGGGTGGATCTAAGGAGTGGCTGGATTGTATTCTTGAGGGATCCTGGCCAATCGCCAACAGGAGGCTTGGCAAGGGGCCGGGACACCCTTAAAAGAAAGTGAGCCTGCTCAGCAGAGGAGAGTTGGAGAGGTCGGGTGGAAGACAGTGAGAAAGATGTGAGGCTGAGGGCAGGACCCTGGGAGGGAGCCCAGATGGAGAGAGAGGCCCACCTACAGGCAGCAGAGCTGGAAAGGAGGAAAGCTCCGAGCTTCACTGGCCCTCAGAGTGAGGACCACTGGTACAGCAGGGAAGGAGTGGCCCAGTGAGTACTGCCATCTTGAATTAATTTCCAGCGCATGTGCAGACACGCCACTTCTGGGTACGCTGCTGCCTGCCCACTCCCACTGTGATTGTATACAGCGGGAGTTTGTCAGCAGGTTCCGACCAATAATTCATGGCCAAGACCTGCTGTGTCCAATGACAGCCCAGAGCTCTGTGTTGACAATCAACACAGAGCTTTGTACAGAGGGAACAATCTCTCTGTTTCTCCTCCCTGCAAAGCACCAGTGATGGTGGGTAAACCGCAGCAGATAAGTGTGAAAGCAGCCCTATACTATTTTGCCCAGTGTATTGCTTCGCACTGATCTGAAGAGCTCTTCTTTCCTGCTGCTTGCACCACTCTGGGGACTGCTAGTCAGGATAAGAGGTGTGGAGTGCAGTTGCTGTCACTCCACATGGGACAGGAGCCGGCACTACAGAGGAGTCATCAGCTTACGTAGCTCTTGCTCCCTACTACAGCCCCAACTTTACAAGTAGTCCCTCTGCATTGCACGCTGATGCTCTGGGATGGCGGGTCAGAAATCCTGGCCGTGGTCTACCAATCACCTGGCCACGATCTACTGGTCACCTGGCCGTGGTCTATCAGTCACCTGGGCGCAATCTACCAATCACCTGGCCGTGGTCTACCAATCACCTGGCCGCAATCTACTGGTCACCTGGCCATGGTCTATCAGTCACCTGGGCGCAATCTACCGGTCACCTGGCCGTGGTCTATCAGTCACCTGGGCGCAATCTACCGGTCACCTGGCTGTGGTCTACCAATCACCTGGCCACGATCTACCGGTCACCTGGCCGTGGTCTACCAATCACCTGGCCGTGGTCTACCAGTCACCTGGCCATGATCTACCGGTCACCTGTCCGTGGTCTACCAATCACCTGGCCATGATCTACCGGTCACCTAGTCGTGGTCTACCAGTCACCTGGTAGATTGCCATCCACGGGTTGCTGACCCCCGATCTATACCATAGTTTGTAGACGCGATAACTTGCACACAAACCAATCAATATACACGTATTGGGAATGTTTTTTGACCAAAGACATATAGTAGAATACATTTTGGCCAAAATAAAAAATATATTTTTTTTAAATATATTCTTTTTTTTTTAACCACTTGCCGCCCTGCCACTGCATATATTCGTGTGCAGGGCGGCACTGTGGCGCAAAAGCACGTTTTAAAACGGGCTCCACGCTCCCGACGTTTTCGCCGACAGGGGGCGCACACGCGGGTGACACCATTTGATCCCGGAGGGATCAATCATTCGATTTCAGCCAGTGATGTCTGGCTGAAATCAGATGATCGGTCCCTGTCCTGTGTTGACATTTACACAGGACAGGATATGATGTCATTCTTCTCTGCCTGGACACATTCCGTTACAGACAGAGAAGAAGACACAGTAAACATGAGTAAAACAGCACACTGACAGTTAGAACACACCTAGGACACATTTAACCCCCTGATCGCCCCCCCAGTTAACCCCTTCACTGCCCTGTCACCAGTGTCACTGATCAGTGAACCGATTTTTACTGATCACTGTATCAGTGTCGCTGGCGACTTCCGATAGTGTTAGCGCCCCTCCCAGATAGCGCCAGTTTGCCCGCCAGTACACCAGTAATCTTGTTTAACCCCTTAATCCCCCCCCCCAGTTAAACCCTTCACTGCCCTGTCACCAGTGTCATTAATCAGTGAACCGATTTTTACTGATCACTGTATCAGTGTCGCTGGCGACTTCCGATAGTGTTAGCGCCCCTCCCAGATAGCGTCAGATTGCCCGCCAGTACACCAGTAATCCCGTTTAACCCCTTAATCCCCCCCCCCAGTTAATCCCTTCACTGCCCTGTCACCAGTGTCACTGATCAGTGAACCGATTTTTATTGATCACTGTATCAGTGTCACTGGCGACTTCCGATAGTGTTAGCGCCCCTCCCAGATAGCGCCAGATTGCCCGCCAGTACACCAGTAATCCCGTTTAACTCCTTAATCCCCCCCCCCCCCCAGTTAACCCCTTCACTGCCCTGTCACCAGTGTCACTGATCAGTGAACCGATTTTTATTGATCACTGTATCAGTGTCACTGGCGACTTCCGATAGTGTTAGCGCCCTTCCCAGATAGCGCCAGTTTGCCCGCCAGTACACCAGTAAGCTCAATTAACCCCTAGATCGATCGAGGACGTAAATTTCATTTGGGTACAGCATTGCATGACCGCGCAATTATCATTTGAATTAGCGCAGCGCTGTATAGCAAAAAATGGCGTAAATTGCAGTATCTATACCATAGTTTATAGACGCTATAACTTTCACACAAAGCAATCAATATACACTTATTGGGATTTTTTTTACCAAAAACATGGAGCAGGAGACATTTTGGCCTAAATTTATGACTAACTTTGAGTTTACAATATATTTTTTTTAGCTGAAAGTAGAAAATATGGTTTTTTTAAAAAAAAAATTCGTGTTTTTTTTTTGTTTATAGCGCAAAAAATAAAAAGCGCACAGGTGATAAAATACCACAAAAAGAAAGCTCTATTTGTGTGAAAAAAAGGACGAAAATTTTGTTTGGGTACAGCATTGCATGACCGCGCAATTATCATTTGAATTAGTGCAGCGCCAAACAGCAAAAAAAGGCGTGGTCATTAAGGGGGGTAAATCCTCAGGAGCTCAAGTGGTTAACATATAAAAAATTAATTTTTACGTATATTTGTAAACGCATTCCATAAATGTAGATTTGTATTTTTAAAGACATACAGTATATTTTAACCACCTCCCATCCGGCCGTTGTATATAAACAGCCGGAGGGTGGCAGTGCAGGGTCGGGTGGCCTTCCCGCCCCCTGCTTGTGCGCTCTCCCTGGGAGCGCGCAGCACCGCGATCCGGTGCCCGCTGTATCTTCCGGACACAGCGGAACACCGATCATCGTACGGGACCTCTGTGTGAGGTCCCCATCATGTGATCACTGATTGGCCAATCAGTGATCACATGCAGAGTAGTACACAAGATGTCACTTCTGACATCATTGCTTACTACGTGTGAAGTCTTCATCACCCCCCACAAGTAGTACAGTGTCACCATGACAGTATGTAAAAAAAAAAAAAACAAATAATAATATATATATATATAAAAAAAATTTTTTTAAATGTTTAAAAATTATATTTTTTTTTGGTATAAACTAATTTGGGTTATTTTTTATTTTACTAAAAAGATAACGGAATAATTTTGGCCAAGATTTATGATGAGATATTATTTATTTGCAAAATTTTATAAGAAAAGCACTTTTTTTTCTAAATTTTTGGACTTTTTCCATTTACATAGCAAAAAAAATAAAAATCCCAGTGGTGAATAAATACCACCAAAATAAAGCTTTATCTGTCTCAAAAAAATTCATATGGGTACAGTGTTGCATGACCGTTGCATGACCGCACAATTGTCATTCAAAGTGTGACAGCGCTGAAAGCTGAAAATTGGCCTGGACTGGAAGGGGGTGAAAGTGTCCGGACCAGGGGCGGACTGACAACTCATGGGGCCCCTGGGCAATAGGGGATCATGGGGCTCCTGTGTCCTTGCCCAAACTCAAAAAAGCCTATGAAAAAGGTACCAGGGGCATCTCATGGGGCCCCCTACTGACCCTGGGCCCTCGGGCACTACCCGAGTTTCCAAATGGTCAGTCCGCCCCTGGTCTGGACTGGAAGTGGTTAAATGTATTTTTAAAAATATTTTTCATATATTTTGCAATAAAAACACATTTCAACATACAGTTGAATATATGTATTGAAATATATTTTGAAATATATTGAATACGGCCAAAATTGTAGCAAATCAAATATATGTCAATATATTTGGGAAGAATATTTTTAAATTATATTTCAAATATATTTCTCATCCATGTGGGTAAACAAGGCCTTAGAGTCCATTTTAGCCCATCGTATTGAAGTGCTGCTGCCAGGGTGGTCACCTCATCCCTTTAAAACCCGAAAACATATGAATGACACGGGTTCTGAGGCTGATTTAATGCTGATAAGGCTCTAAGTGAGTTCAATGACCGCCTTCATCAGCCCCAGAACCTGTGTTATTAATATGTGTTCAATTTTAAATGGAGGAGGTGGCAACCTACCTGCTGCTCTCACCGGCCTTTATCTTTGATTCCTTGGCATCCTAGGACCACAGGAAGTGGGTTGAAGGGTGCTGGGCATCATTCAGCATTGGGGGGGGGGCTGGTTGTCAAGGTCCTACCTTTTCCCAGAGGTTATGTTACTCCATGTGCTGGCATCCATCTTGGATTTCTGCTGAGCATGATGGGAATCTTTTATGCCTTCAGGTCTCTGAGGTCCATCCCCCAGAAGGGTGTGGCTGAGTACATATAAGCCTGTGATCCGCACATGCGCTTTGCATTTGTGTCTTTTGTCTTTGTCTTGCTACAGCTTTGTGTATACGCTCGTGACTCTTCTGGTATTTGACTCGGCTTGTGACTAAGACCATTCTCTGTGTTTTCCTTCGATCTGACCTTCCGTTGCTGAACCCGGTCCGTGACCTGTGATTCTCTGTCTACGTTCTGTACCATTTTTGTCCCGTTGTTGTTGACCCGGCTTGCCTGACTACGCTATTGTCATTCTCACCAGCTACACGCCATTGGCGGCGGCCATTACCGCAGCCGGTGTGTCTCGGGGGCCGCGACCTGGTTCCTGGCTTCGTCAAGTCCATCCCCACCATCAGGGGCCCTGGTGAAGGGCAGCCTGGGACTTAGACTCCGCGCCCTGAGGGACTTCGGTCTGTTGGTGGTGGTTGTCGTCAGCCAGTGCGTTACCCTGCCACTAGGCCTACCTGTCCGTTCCACAGCCCTGCCCTGACACTGGTACAGCGGCTTTGGATTGGCAAGTTTCAGGGGACAGTGGCAGAGATTGGGTGAGTATGGCAGCTGAAGCTACCATTGTGTGCCAGACACTTTGACCTGGAATTGGGCTTTGAATGATATTGTGGCAGTTCTGGGCTCTCCCACAGTGCGATTCAAGGTTATAACCCAGAATTCTCAACTAAACTGGTTGAGGGGCTCCAGGGGATTTGCTTAATGCAGAGGAAACTGGCTTTTCAGTTTCCTCATTTGTTCATAAAGTCCATTTTGGGGCTTGGAACCTGGAGAGTTCAAAGTGATCTGGGAGGGATGAAATCTCCAATCCTGGGTCCATGTTTTTTGAACCCCCATCACACTATTGTACAGGTGTGTGCAGGGCTTTAAGCAATAACCGGACTAGGGTTCTGGGCTCCACCCTGGCAAATAGAGATGGTCTCTGCATAGGAGCACAGATTATTATTATTATTATACAGTATTTATATAGCGCCAAAGGGTATGCTCAGTGTTGTACAGTAACAAGGGGGACAGAACCTGAGACAAGACAGTAACAAAACAGTACACGAGGGGTTCAAGGGCCCTGCTCTTTTGAGCTTACAATCTAGGAGGGAGGGGAAGGTGATACAGGAGGAGATGGCTGTGGGGGATGGAGTGGTGGGAGGAGTGGAGGAGGTTTTTAGGTGAGGTCAGGTGTTAGGTGAGGGTGGGGTAGGCTTCCCTGAAGAGGAGGGTTTTCAGGGTGCGCCTGAAGGTGAGGAGGTAGGTGACAGTCTGATGGATTGGGGTAGGGAGTTCCAGAGGATGGGGGAAGTCCTAGAGAAGTCCTGCAATCGGGCGTGGGAGGAGGAGACCAGGGAGCTAGAGAGTAGGAGGTCCTGTGAGGAGCGGAGGGCATGGGTAGGGTAGTATTTGGGTATCAGGTCAGTTATGCAGTTTGGGGTGGCGTTGTGAATGGCTTTGTAGGTCAGGGTTAGCAGTTTGAATTTGATGCGTTGGGCAATCAGGAGCCAGTGAAGGGATTGGCAGAGGGGGGAGGCAGATGTGGAGCGGTTGGTGAGGTGGATGAGTCTAGCCTCTGAGTTTAGATTGGAGCTGGAGCAACAAGTGGCTGCCAAGAGTGTGGACCAAGCTGTTGAGAGAGGTCCTGAATGGTATCTGGTCATGTTCTGTAGGAGACAGACCAAGGCTTGAAGAGTAAATCCTGAGCTATGGTGATTTATGTGTAAGCCAGGCGAATGCACATTTCTCTGAAGGGTCAGGTGTGTGCAGGACTTTAAGCAATAACCTGACTAGGGTTCTGGGCTCCAACCTAGCAGATAGAGCAGGTCTCTGCGTAGGAGCACAGATTGGAGCAGGAGTAGCAAGTGGCTGACAAGAGTGTGGACCAAGCTGTTGAGAGAGGTCCTGAATGGTATATGGTCAAGTTCTGTAGGAGACAGACAAAGGCTTGCAGAGTAAATCCTGAGCTATGGCGATTTTAAATGGATGAGGTGGCAACCCTAGCTGCTGTTCTCATCAGCCATTATCTTTGATTCCTTGGCATCCTAGGACCATAGGAAGTGGATTGAGGGTTCTGGGCATCATTCAGCATTGGGGGGGCTGGTACAGCGGCTTTGGATTGGCATGTTTCTGGGGACAGTGGCAGAGATTGGGTGAGTATGGCAACTGAGGCTACCATTGTGTGCCAGACAATTTGACCTGGAATATGGTCACGTTCTGTAGGAGACAGACCAAGGCTTGAAGAGTAAATCCTGAGCTATGTTGATTTATGTGTAAGCCAGGCGAATGCACGTTTCTCTGAAGGTTCAGGTGTGTGCAGAGCTTTAAGCAATAACCTGACTAGGGTTCTGGGCTCCACCCCAGCAGATAGAGGTGGTGTCTGCCTAGGAGCACAGATTGGAGCTGAAAAAGCAAGTGGCTGCCAAGAGTGTGGACCAAGCTGTTGAGAGAGGTCCTGAATGGGTTCTGACTAGGGTTCTGGGCTCCACCCTGGCAGATAGAGGAGGTCTCTGCGTGAGAGCACAGATTGGAGCTGGAGCAGCAAGTGGCTGCCAAGAGTGTGGACCAAGCTGTTCAGAGAGGTCCTGAATGGGTTCTGATTAGGGTTCTGGGCTTCACCCTGGATGATAGAGGAGGTCTCTGCCTAGGAGCACAGATTGGAACTGGAGCAGCAAGAGTGAGGACCAAGCTGTTGAGAGAGGTCCTGAATGGTATCTGGTCACAGTCTGTAGGAGACAGACCAAGGCTTGAAGAGTAAATCCTGAGCTATGGTGATTTACGTGTAAGCCAGGCGAATGCACATTTCTCTGAAGGTTCAGGTGTGTGCAGGGCTTTAAGCAATAACCTGACTAGGGTTCTGGGCTCCACCCTGGCAAATAGAGGAGGTCTCTGCCTAGGAGCACAGATTGGAGCTGGAACAGTAAGTGGCTGCCAAGAGTGTGGACCAAGCTGTTGAGAGAGGTCCTGAATGGGTTCTGACTAGGGTTCTGGGCTCCACCCTGGCAGATAGAGGAGGTCTCTGTGTAGGATCACAGATTGGAGCTGGAGCAGCAAGTGGCTGCCAAGAGTGTGGGCCAAGCTATTGAGCGTGGTCCTGAATGGGTTCTGACTAGGGTCCTGGGCTCCACCCTAGATGATAGAGGAGGTCTCTGTCTAGGAGCACAGATTGGAGCAGGAGCAGCAAGTGGCTGCGAAGAGTGTGGACCCAGCTGTTGAGAGAGGTCCTGAATGGTATATATGGTCACGGTCTGTAGGAGACAGACCAAGGCTTGAAGAGTAAATCCTGAGCTATGGCGATTTACGTGTAAGCCAGGCGAATGCACGTTTCTCTGCCGGATCATTTGTTTGGATGGAAGACGAATGCTGAAAACCCTTGTGAGGGAAACCCATTATGTTGATTTTTTTTTTCTCCTTCTCTGGAACTTTGAACTTTCCTTTTAATAAAATTGGGCCAGGAAAGCTCTTAAAAAGTAGACTACAAGTGAAGGTGTCCTCTTAAAGCTCTACCATTTGATGTTAGATCTCACAATATAGAAAACACCAGTATAAAAAGGAATTTGCCCAAAATCTTGATTATTGATTATCGTAGGTAGCATGCAGCTCTGAGACCTTACAATACATTTCTCTATGAAAATGT